AAACTAATCAATAAGTCTTATTATTGATTGTTACTGTCGTATTAATAGACTAATCAATAAGTGTTATTATTCACCTGTTATATTGATAGACTAATCAATCAATTAATGTTATTAATGATTTTTAAAAGGTATAAACTCTCATATTGATAGACTAATCGATAAGTGTTATTATTGACCTTTAAAAGTCAGAAACTCTATTACTGATAGACTAATCAATAAGAAATGATTGATTCCAAGTCTGATCAGCAGACTGATCTATAAAAGTTATTACTGACCTGAAATTGACATCATACAGATTATTGATCTTTAGTCGATCATCAGCCTAACAAACAGCGTCACTGATCAGCAGTTATTGATCTTACCGGCAGCGTGCCGATCAGCTCTCTGGTCCGGTTCCACAGCTCCCGGATCAGCTCGGTGGGGATCTCCTGCCTGCAGGAGGTGGTGACGCCTCCCTCGGCCGTCGCCATGGAGACGAGGAGGCAGAGGAGCAGAGTGAGAGCAGACGTCCTGACGAGGAGGCGAAGCATCTTTGACTGTGGCAGGTCCTCTCCCCTCTGCTGCTTTTATACCTCCTCCTCCCTCCTCTCCTCCCCCCTCTCTCCCCTCTGCTGACACTCCCTCTCTGTTCTCCCCCGCTGACCTCCTCTCCTGTTTCAGAAATTTCCTCCTATTGCCACTGACTCACTGAAATTTCCAAGGAGACTTCGTGTTCATGTCACCTCCTTTCTCTCTTTTCTTTCTCTTTTGTCTCCTTTCTTTAATCTTCTCCTCTTTCACCTCTCGCCTCCTTTCTTTTCTCATTTTGCTTTCTTCTCTTCTTTTCTCCTCTTTTCTCCCCCTTCCTCCCATGTGCTCCCTCCAAGTTTTCTATTCTTTCTCCTTCTCCTCTCTTTACTCCTCTCCTGAATAATGTCTTCCTTCCTTTCTCCTCTTTCCTCCCTCCCTTGCTTCCTTCCTTTCTCCCTCAAACCTATTGCTCTCCTTCTTCCTCTCGGGCCTTTTCTCCTTCCTCTTCTCTTCCCTCCTTCCCCTTCTGAGTCCTTCCTGTCCTCTCCTCCTCCTCCTCCCTTCGTTCTCTGTCCTCACCCCCGGCGGTGAGGATGTCACTTCATGTCGGTTTTACCGGGTGTGTTTGGGTGTTTTGGTGTTTAGATGTAAAGTCAGATAAAACTAGGTTGCGGCTTTGAAGGAAACCGGTGACTCGGCGCATTTTTCTCCACCTCGGTAGGTTTCAGAAGGCGCAGAGTCATCGTCCAACCCAGATTAAAGGCAGCACCATAGAAGATGTTGAAGAATACCTGCAGCTGCAAGTTCAGGTGATGAATTCTTCTTCTACTGTGTGTGTGTGTGTTGGCAGTAGTTCCTGGAAGTCAGATCAGTAACCAGGTCAAACAGCCGCAGTACGACTCAGTGTGCTCACCAACTTTCCTGCAGTCGCAGTTTAAAACTGCACATTAGACAAGAGCGATATTTGGCGAATCATTCT